GCCGCCGGCCCTGCCCGGGGCGCTGGCAGCGCGCAAACCTAACGCGCCGTTTCCTCTCACGCTTTGCAGAAGCGCCACCACGTCCTGCAGACGGTTCATCCCTCGCCCCTCTCTGTCAACAGAGGGTTTTTTGGCTGTCGGCATTTCTCGAAGACAAACGAGTTGCTCAAGAAATCCGGCAAGAAGCCCATCGACTGGCGAGCGCTCTGAGCGGCGCGCAGGAGCCGCTGGGGGCCGGGGGTTGGGAAGAGCCCCTGGTTCAGCGGGTGTCTTGTTTCTGAGAAACTTTTTTGCTGACCTGAGAATTGCTCCTCGGATGTTGATCAAGGAACAAATGACCAAACCTTCAGAGATGTTATATTTTTTTAAAAATATTTTTTAAAGAGCAGATTGGAGTGTTCCACAGACAACTTCTCTGCTGTTTGAACAGGTCTCAGCCTAGTTTGAAGCAAAGAAAAAAAAAAAAGTTCTATGTTAATTTGTGTTGGTTGTTGTAATGGGAATATACTTTCAGGCTCTCGTGAAGCGATGTCAGTGCTTACAGGTGAGGCTGTTCAGCTTTTGTAAATACCCCGCTGCGCCTCCTCCCACTTCTTTGCCTCCTGCTGTGCAAATCCAGAGTTCATATTTGGGGGGGGCGTGGGCCTGACTCCGGGGGAGAAAAGGCAGATGCTTTTGGTTTTAGCTTTTTGCTACGAATGACAAGATTTATTAGAAATAGGGCCTCTTGGGACTGTGAAGAACATAGGCTGTCAGAAGTTACTTGGTGTATCTGTTCCCTTTGAGATTTCAAGGTGAATCCCCCCAGCCACTGTGGGGAGACTGCAGCAGAGGCTCTGGTTGTGCTGTGAGCTTTTTTCTTGGCATTTAGAGAGGAAAACCCTAAGTTTTTGGGTTCTTACTGGGTGTGTTAATCGCTTGGATGAGCTGTGATGACCATGAACTTTGCCGTACCTGCCAATGGCAGCAGCGAAGGTTTGTTCATCAGGATCTGCCCGTCGCTGGGCTGATGGTCAAGAATTATTTAAGATCTTTTAAGATCTTAAAACAGAGGGAGCTTTGTGCTTTGCCTTTGTAGGAGCAATTGGAGGTTTCTAGTTTAAAATAACTGTTGGGACTTCCAGGATGAAGACAAGGTTGGACTCCACACTTCTGCATTTCCAGTCCACCTTTGACTTTGTAATCCCTTTAATGGGAGTGAAGTGCCTTCTTCGTTTGGAAATTACATCATTTTTTATAGAATACCCCTGTTAAACCTTTCTTTGGTGTTTGCTCTGAGAGGTAACACTAGTACAAGTGAAGTTTACACTTTGTGTGGCTGTTGTTGTTTTTTTTTGTTTTGTGTTTTTCTTTTCCCAAGTTTGTTTTTTAAATAAAAATGACTTTGTTTATGTTATGACCTTACATTGGTGGGAGCAAAGCAGGGGGAGGGGGGTGTCTGAGGTGAGGCCCTGGCTCTGCCGAGGGTGCTGGCCTGGGTGAGGGGGTCCCTGCTCTCCCCAGGGGTTTCCCCTTGCTCCCCCCCCTTGGGGAGGCAAAGCCTCAGGAGCTTGTCCTTCTCCTGGTCCCCATGACCAGGCACGGGGCCAGGGCACCTTTGTCCCCCAAGGATCGGGTGTCCTGGCCAGCCGTGCCCGATTTCCCCCGCCCCCTCCTCTGCTTTCCACCCTCGCCTCCAGCAGAAGTTTTCCAGGCACGTTAGCGGGGAAATATTTCAGCTTGACGTTACCATCACGTGTGAGCACGCAGCCGCGGGAGTCGGGGGGACGATGGGGGGCCGGGGCACGCGCTCCTCCCGTGCTGTGGCCGTCACCCTGGCCTCTGGCACCGCTTTCAGCCTGCTGTGGACAACACAGTGACCAGCCCAGATAAGCACGAGCGGGAGCTGCGGTGCGGGCAGGCACAGCCAGTGTTCGTCCCTGCCGGCACAGAGGAGGGGGAAGCCCAGGGCGCTCAGCACCCATGGTGAGCGTGGCCCCTTTCCCCCAGCAAGGGGCTGGGGCGATTTTTCCCTCCTGCCCATTCCTCAGCTTTAACCTCTTGTAGAGATTGGGGGATTTGGTTTAAGGGCCCCCCCTTTTTGTGAGGGGCGGGGGCTGGGGTCGGCGCGTGGGTGGGCTCGCTGCCATCCTTAGGGTGCTGCGAGCAGCTGGGGAGGCGGGGGGCCATTTCAGCACGAAGGCGGAGCGGTGCTGTGGCCCCCGTCATTCCCCCTGCCAGAGCTGCTCCTGTTTTGGGGAGTAAAAATAGCTCTG